CCTGTTATCGTATTTAAGTATATAGATAGTTCTCTAACCGGCACTATTATCAGCAAAAATTAAAGTTACCGGTAACAATTATTGTAGCCAGTAAACTGTACCATATATGACTTTTGGTGAAGTTGATTAAAAATTAACAGTTCCAATCTTTCATTATCACCACATTAAATTCCAACAATTAAACATAGGTGAAACATAGATGAAAGGTATGCCTTCATTTTCACTTTGTCTTATGATCAACTATCACAGCATGAAAAATTGACAAAGAACATAGAATATCTGTTGTATCTCAGTTGTAGTTTGAGACAATATCAAGTTTTTTGTGCAACAAAGTCACAACTCCTAAAATATTTTATAGAACTGTTATCACCATCATAGATTTTCCAAGTGGGAGGACTTCACTAGTAGTAAATGCTTATCTCAAAGAAAATGGCTTTCAACCAAGACAATGTCGTTGAGATATTCAAGTTTGTGACTTCGCTAAACATTTATTTCAACTTTGAAATTATTTATGTTATATTGTTATCATTTGTAATTTCTGGTGTATTCAGGGCCAGGTTTATCATATTTGCACCCCTAGCCTAGACCCAATGATTTTCCACCCCTAGATCTGGTTAAAGTTAATTTCCTACAAACCTTTAGTAAAAGCTAGATCAGACATATATGTTAATTGCTTAGTCACCACTCCAAAATGCAATTCCATCATTGCAAGTTTTTGAGGAATTAACTTGGTTCTGGCCATAACGTCATCTTAACCACTTTAGCAAATATTCCGTATTAAATAGTGAGCTCACGTTTGTGGGACTGAAACAAATATGACCTGCAGAACATTCATGCAACAAAGCATGGCCATTGCTGCTCTCGCGGCGGCTTTTCCACTTCCTGCCGATCTAGTCCGGTTAAACCGAGATGTGTTGATAAAAATTGTCCGGTTAAAGAGATGTCATTTCCGCCGAGTGTAGTCCGGTTAAAAGGTGTCCAGATAAGAGGGAGTCTACTGTAAGTGTGTTTCGACAATAACATTGGCATGCGTCCGTAATCACTCCGAGCAGTAGCCCCGACCTGAGCCAGCATAGTGGCAGTGGCAATACTATTATTTTGTTCGAATAAACTTGAGTTTGAACTCAACTAGCCTGATTAAAAAAAAATCAATTTGCATGATATCTTAATTAAAGGCTATTTATGTTGATTTCTAGATATTCAAAAAATAATTTTCCCCTCCGCCGTGCGCCCCCTGGGAGCGTGTGCCCATAGGCCCGGGCCTCTCCTAGAAGAAGTACCAGGGAAATCCGGCCCTGGGTGTATTGTTTGGAGTGTACAAAGAGAGTTGCAAAACGCATGTTATATATCTAGTTTAGTTCCTATGCTTGTCTATATAAACACTAACAGGGTTACTTTCCTCTGGTAATACTACGTATTATCAGTATTAAGATTCTTCACTAACATAATGAACAATTTAATTTCAATGTTCATTATAATGCGTTAGCAATAAGAATTTATTCAGTGTTTTTTGTTAGTGTGAAGCAATCTCAACTCATGCTTAGACTACCCTGCTTATTAGCCAATATTTTTTGTGGTATTTATATTTTATGAATTGCTTTATAATTATCACTTTCCCCTCAAATGTCTTCTTTGGTTAACTATACAGAACAAGAACTTTGTAAGAGGTACAGAATTAGGTACATTTTTATCAGTGATGTAGTTGTAAGTTATTCAGTGCGAATGCTGAATGCTCACCACTGAAGTTTGTGCATTGCTGCTCCACTACACCATTGATTTTAAGGTTATTTTATCCAGTGCAACTTATAGACTTAAAAAAAACCTTGTATATTGCTACAAGTTCTTGTAAATGTTTATATATTAGCATATTTGCAATAATATAAGGTTCATTTGCAAACAAAATGTATTTATTAATCATCAAACAAAAAAAATTAATTTATGTACAATGTAATTATGTTTTCATTTACTGCTCATAAATGACAAGGGGAAAAATTGCGTCCTCTTTAACAAACTGGCTATCTGTCCACAAATTGTTCCTGAAATCACAGAATAATTTATTTAGTGATCGCATAGTGATTAAAAATAAAAATGCACAACATTAAGTTTTTTCTTGAGGTTGGCAGTAGCTATGCTTGTGCTAGTAATCAGTATTATTTAATTAGTTGCTAATTGATAGTGATTACTGGTAAGTAAACTAAGATTGTTGTTCATTGTATTAGTTTTAAGTCACTCTGGGCATTATTTATGACGAACAGTGGTCACTTGAGAGGCTAATATTGGGCAAAAGCTCCTGGACCTGGTCAAGTACAGGGGTATAAGCTTACCTTGTTAGTGGTGCCACAATATGCTAGGTTGACATCCTTGGACTTAAATCCACCCCCTTATACAACACACTACAATCCCGAATTACCAGTTGTAAAAGACATATACAGGGTGGGGCAATGAAAGTGTTCCAATTCATAAGTAGTACAAACTCAATAATATTAATCCTATGGATATAAATAGCCTATCAAAACGCAGCTTATATTTTGGCATTTTTAACTTAACAAAGTCATTTTTCCATTTCTTGAAAACAAAATCCTGCAATAGATGTCCTTGTCCTACTTGACATTCCTTTTTAATCACTTGAAAACTCCATAAAATACTCCTCCAGCATTTCTTTAGGAATCACTTTAGTTTTTGGGCAATTCTTAGCTTGGGTTCAAACAAATCTGTGGGGATTTTGAAATACCTAAAACTTTAAGTAGCTTGTTAGAATAACCCCCCTCTTCCAAAAAAAAAAAAAAAAAAAAAAAAATTAGCCAACGTAAAGCTTTCAACAATAAAAGCTTCCTAGCAAATCTCTTTGGACTTTGAGTTACTGTGACCTGCACTCTTTCAATATTTGCTGGTGTACAAAGAGTTTTGTGGCACCCACCGATTATTTTTAGGTTCAAGCGTTTATCCTAAATAATTTTACCCAATTCACGATTGCAGTGCCGGATTTACCACTAGGCCGACTAGGCCGCGGCCTAGGGCCGCAAGCAAAAGGGGGCCGCAGCGGCAGCGGTACAAAAAAAATTATAAGTGCTACGATGTCACACAGAGCGCAAAAGGAGCGGTTAAAATTGTTTTTATAAAATTATTTTTTTCTTAAGCGCTACGAAGTCACACAGATCAACGACGTAGTGATGTATATGTGTATATGGTCAACGGTAACGGTACTACTGTACGTAGTTCGTAGTTGTCGGCGTCAGTCAGTGTGACTGCGACGTTGGTCCGTCGGATGTAGAGAGATAGTCACTTCCTTTCCCACGAAAACGAGGAATTCGCGAAAACGGAAGCGGCCCCTCCATATCCATATTCACTGTTTTTATTACTCAGTTTGTCTTATACTTTGCTAGTGACAAGTACAGTTTTTCTTGCTGGTAATTTATTATTGTGTTTTATACGATTTCTGAATGATGGATAGTTAAGTTTAAATATGTTGTAAACAATTATTGTGAATTGTAATTGTGGATTCGGTGAACTATTTCACAGTGAGCTATGGACTAACAGGTAACATTTTTTGCTCTTATAATGAATGACAACAATAAAAACATTCATAGGGCTAGTGGAGCCTATAAACGCAAATTGAAAAAACTTAAAGAAGAACAAAGTTTAAAATTGTTAAAAACTAATTCTAAAATAGAAAGTTTTTTTAAAAGTACGCCAGGGAATAGCAGTCAGAATAATCCAAATGAAATATATGTTACTGATGTTCAAATTCCCAATACTTCTGCTGCCAAAGAAGACACCACAACCGTTTTGACAGTATCAAGCGATCAAAATGAATCTATAAATCCAGCTTCCAGTCCTGAATCGGCCCTGCCTCTAACTCAAACCACCTTAAATATTCTAGATCCTAGTTCATGGGGCAGTTTGTCTGATGATACAACAGACTTTGTTATAAGAAATCTCCCCAAACACTTAGTAGAGATTAAAGATTGTGATTTTTCTAAATCCAAACGTCAATATCCTGACAAAGTGAGGACATTAAAAGAACACATGTTTTTTTGTCGTTTGCCAAACGGCGAAATTAAGAAAAGAGAGTGGCTTATGTACTCCAATACTACCGGCTGCCTGTATTGTGTCCCTTGCAAATTATTCCACTCTAATATTGAAAGTTCTTTTTGCAAGGGATTCAATGACTGGAAGAATTCTAATCGACTTAAAGAACACGAGAAAAGTGCGGAACATCGGTTGAATACAAAAACTTTTGTCTTACGAGGCAATGTTTTAGGAAAAATTGATTCGGCACTACACAAGTCTACCTTAAGGAAGTCGAGTATTGGCATCGAGTACTACAACGAGTAGTAGATGTTACCAAGTTTCTCGGCACCCGTGGCCTAGCTTTTCGAGGGAGCAAAGAAATATTTGGTTTTCTAGGAAACGGCAATTTTATGGGAGCATTAGAGCTGGTCGCAGAGTATGATGATTTTTTAAAAACCCACATTGAAAACAAAGGAAATCCAGGATCTGGCAATGTAAGCTATCTTTCTAAAACTATATGTAACCAATTCATTGATTTGATGTACAAAAGGGTAGTTTCTGTTATTGTAGATGAGTTGAAGAAAAGTAAATACTATTCGCTCAGTGTTGATTCCACACCAGACATCACTCATTCAGACCAGTTGACAGTGATCCTACGTTATGTTTTAAGTGATGGATTGCCCGTGGAAAGATTTGTTGCTTTCATTAAACTCCAAGGTCATACTGGAGCACACATGGCGGAAGTTATTTTAAATACCCTGTCAGAGTTGGATGTTCCAATATGCGATATGAGAGGCCAGTCATATGATAATGCCTCGAATATGTCAGGCAAATACAAAGGTTTGCAAGCTCTAATAAAAGAACATAACAATTTAGCTGAGTACGTTCCATGCTCCGCTCATTCATTAAATCTAGTAGGCACACATGCGGCTGATTGTTGTTTGGCAGTTACAAAACTATTCATGTTCATTCAAGAATTTTACGTTTTCATGAGTGCATCTACTTCAAGATGGGCAGTATTAGAAACAATTGTCAAAAATAGCAGTAGCGATAAGAAACTCCTTCCAAAAAGGGTTAACGTGACAAGATGGGCTGCCAAATGGCATGCTGTGAAAGCCCTTTTGCTCAACTATTGGAGCTACTACGATGCTATAAAACAACTATCTGATGATACGGGGGAAACAAATGTGAGCCGAGCTGAAGCTAAAGGAATCAGCAAACAATTTCTGAAGCTTGAGAATGCTATTTTATTAAACATGTGGTACGATATTTTAGAACGTTTTGACAAGAGTAGCAAAACATTGCAAAACCCTGCTACAGACTTGAATTTGACCTGCAACATATATAAATCTCTAAAAGAGTACGTATTGAGCCTGAGAGACAACTTTGAATCATTCGAAAAAAGAGGAAAAGAGTTGTCTAAAAATGATGTCTACATTCTTGACGATGTTGAAATAAAAAGACGACCTAAAAGGAAAGCTCTCTCTATTGACGATAAAGAAGATGGGCCCCACCTCAATTTTGATGGCAAGGCAGACTTAAAGATCAACACATTCAATGTTGTAATTGACAGGCTGTATTCAGAACTGAATAAAAGATCCAAAGTTTATTTCAATCTCAATGAAGAATTCGGATTTTTAAACAACTTATCGTCAATTTCGAATGAGGACATCAGGGAAAAAGCTTCAATTTTGGCCAAAAAGTATCACACTGACATAGATGATGACTTTGCAGAAGAATGTGTGCAGTTTAAAAATTTTGTTGGAGGTATGTTTGATGACGGAAGAGAACCCCATGATAACAAGACTAACAAGCATTCGAGAAATCCACTTTTGGATTATCTGCAACTCATTCGTGAAAAACAGTTGACAACACTTTTTCCAAATCTGGACACAGCTCTGCGCATCATACTATGCATGATGACATCTAATGCATCAGGAGAACGATCATTTAGCGTCTTGAAAAGAATCAAGAACTTCTTGAGGAACTCAATTTCTGACGATGAATCTAGATTGTCTAGTTTAGCTAGTTTTGTTGCAAATGCTGAACTTTTTAAATCCTTAGACTTTAAAGATTTGATTAAAGATTTTTCAGCCGAAAAAGCTAGAAAGGTTAGTGTTTAGTATGAGATTTATCATACCATACGTATGGAACTTGACATTTATGTTATGAGAATTTGACATTGAACTAAGTAGAAGTTAGTTTGTTGTGTTATCATTCCTTATCATAATTTACTTTTTACGTGCTGAAGCCTATTACAGTTCAAATGATTTTGATTTTACTCTTAATGTCTGTCCAGTTAAATATTTGTTTGGTCTTTTGGTGTCATCTATACATTTTTTCCGAAATGAAACAAGCGCTATTTCGTTTCAACAATTGAGCTTTAACACTAATATTTAAATATGTGTTTAAATCAAAGATATGTGGCATTACTATTCATTTATGTTACGCGTTTTACGTTTTAAGATTTAAAAAAAACTGTATGTATTAACATTATTATTGTATTATTTATTGTAAAAAATATGCTTTGTGCTTCAATTCCATAATCATTAGGTTAAAGAAAACAACGTACAGTAATTGCTAGCGCCAATCAATGTTTACAAATTTTTTATTTTTATCTTCAAGGAATTCATACTACTACATTATTTAAGAGATTTTAATAAAAAATAATTGGATTTTAAAATTCAATTTGCGTTTTTTATTTTAATTGCTATTCTTTGTAATGTTAATTTAAATAATTAAAAATACGTTATGTATTTTTGTGAAAAAAAGTTTTAATTCTATAATTGCTAGGTTAAAGAATACAATGTAATTGCTAGCATTCATCTATGTTGTCTAATTCGTATGTTTATGTATGTATATGTTTACGATATCATATCCGTGCTACTAAGAGATTTATATAAATAAAGAGATTGTACAGTTCATTTTCAATTTTAATTTTAATCGTTATGTTTATACGATTTGATAGTAAAAAAATGTTTTGTTATATACTATTGTGAAAAATATGCTTTGTGCTTTTAGTTCCATAATTATTGTTATATTAAGGAAGGTTAAAGAATACAATTTTGTTTTCCCAATAGGAATTGTATGTTTATCTTTTGATGCTACTCACTTGTTAATGAGATTGAAATAAATAAAAGATTGCACAATTCATTTTGAATTTTTGACTCGTCATTGCCGACCGGTCCTTCACGATACTTTTAGGCCTATTAGTGTTGCTTCCGTGTAAGCCTCAGTTCACTTAACATAAATTAAATTTTAATTTGACATAGCACTTATTTGACAGTTTATACTAAAATTATTGTTTAATCCTATTTGAAATGGCCGAAACGGGCAATTTTTAAATGCTATAAACATAAACTATTAACACTTAGTGTTTTCTTAACTTTTATAAATCGTAAAAATGCGTTTATTATTGGAGAATAGGCAACAGTAATGTTTATTAAATATTATTTTTAAATATGTGAGTGTGTGTTTTAGGGCGTTCACGAAAAAGTGACACTGAAGTATAGTTGGATAGTAGAAGTAGAAGAGTTTCGCGAGGTGAACAGCAAATAATAATTAGCCTCTCTCACTAGGTTGGTAAGACCAAGAACTATAGTAGGCCTATGTGGGATGTTCCACCTATGAAGGGGGGCCTCATGAGGTTTTTGGCCTAGGGCCGCTAGTAACCTAAATCCGGCACTGCACGATTGTTTTCCAATCTAGAACAGTGCCATGTTGACCAAGGATGGAATGTGGTCCAAATAACAATCTCTGGGGTTTTGCACAAGAATCACTATTTTAAAAATAGGTTTTCCACATCAAAATCTCAGTGTTAATAGCCTCAGGAATAATATTTACTAAAAATGGCATAGTTTAATTAATGTTATAAGCACAGCTGCTCATTCATTGTTGCTTTACTTATAGTGTGAAAACGAAAGAAAATTGGGGTGCTCTCATTGCCTCACCTTGTATAACGAAACCGAAAAAAAAAAAAATTATACTTCTCATTCTAAAATCAATTAACACTGTCACACTAAGCTTTACGGTTGCAATAACAATAGGACCTGGATGTTTAATTAATACTACATGCCTGCATATGTCGTATG